GCGCAGAGCCTGAGACTTCCACCCGATTGAAAACGACAACCCCGCCCTCAGCTACCAGCCTGCTCCGCGCGCCCCTCCGCACCTTTGTATTTTCCTCACTGCGCCTCCTCTTAGTCTCGGTATGCTTTTCTCTTTCCTTCTAGTTGTAGAATTTCCCCTCAGCCAGCCTTCCTGTGGTTCTGGGTGATGTCCATTCCATCTTTTAGTTGTATTTTTGAAGTGGTTGTGCAAGGCAGCAATCTCCGGTGTTTACCTATGCCACCAGCTTGGTTTCCCTCTGCAGTGTTTTTTAAGCAAGGACACTTTGAAGTCTAAATATAAAGATTCTATTAAAACACTGGAGTTGGGGGGGTGGGGAGGAAGGTTCATACTTGATTGGAAAAGTCAAGGCAGGGGTTGCTGCCTTCAGCAAAGTTCCCCTCGAGGCCCGCAACCTTTCAGAGATTCCTCCTGACAGACCTTCCAACCAAGTCCTGTGATGCCCCACACGCTGGACCCGGGTCTTCCAGGCCCGCCCACCACAAGACACCTGTGCGTATGGGGCTACTGGGTCCTCTTCTTAGAATAGTGCAGGGGTGTGGGCAGGGCTTCTCGCCTCCACTTGGGGAAAGATGGTGGGAGTGGTGGGTGAAGCATACAAAAGGGGACGTGGGGAGATGCCCCACAAGGGGCATCAGGGCATCTCGTCCTGTGGGCTTTGGAGCAGGGAGCAGCACTTGGGACTGATGACCTGAGTCAGAGCACAAGGGGGCGACTCACCAGCGCGACCTTGGGCTCACCAGCGTGACCTTGGGCTCACCAGCGTGACCTTGGGCTCACCAGCGCGACCTTGGGCTCACCAGCGTGACCTTGGGCTCACCAGTGCGACCTTGGGCTCACCAGCGCGACCTTGGGCAGCGGCTCAGCCTGCAGGAGGGTAACGGCCTCTGAAAGGATCTTGGAAGAGATCACACAGTGTGTGAAGCCCCAGCACGACAATATTGTTAGGGCTGTTGAGTCATCATCAGCAACAATGACAACACCCCTCCCCCCGCTGGAGCCAAGCTTGATTTTTAACCTTCTGCACTTGGACAGGAGATGTAACCAGACAAACATTGGGTCTGTGCCCGTCACCACCTGAGCCAAGTCGGCAGAGACGGTGAATCCTGTGAGCGTGTGTTCCAATCCTGCCGGCAGCGTGGAGAGCAGCAGGTCACCCACAGAAAGCTGCCCCCCACCCCCCAGCTGCTATATTGGGTAGAAGGACAGAGATTACAGGGGAAGGAGGCAGAGGGTGTGCCAGATGGGCCGTT